GGGCGCGGGGAGAAGCGAAACCGAGCGGCGGGATGCGGGGGGGCGTATGCTAATGAGACCCGATGGTAATGAGATCCTATGCTAATGAGACGATATGCTAATGTGGCGCTCTGTTAAAGGGGCGATGCAGCTAGGCGCGCGCTGGTGTCCTGCTGGCGAATATGCAAAGTGCTTATTCAAACGGCACTTGATTTATGCTAATGAGCAATATGCTAATGAGTCGCGTGCGGACGACGAGTCCGCTAATGAGCCCGCCTGGCAATGCCCGGCGGGGGGCACCCCGGACCCCCGCCTCCCTCCCGCAGCTGGGCAGGGACCAGAGGTTGCCCCAGCTCCCTCCACCTGGGCTGGGCCATAAGATCTGCCCCATAAGATCTGCCTGCCTGCCTTGCTCTTGCCCCTGGAGGTCCCCAGCAGGGTGCTGGACCCGGCGGGCACAGGGCAGGCAGGCTGTCCCTGCCCCACCGCGCTTGCAGTCCTGTCCCGTGGGCAACACTGGGACCAGCAAAGCACCAGGACTTAATCCGGGGCTGCCCTTGTGCTACTTGGACAAAGGGAAACTGCTGAGCCATCTGGTTTGAAGCCAATTCCCTCCCCTGCTCTTTTTTTTGTCACGGGGAACTCCAGCCTTAGCGAGGGGTAACGGCTGACAGTCTAACGGGCGGCAAGAATAAAAGTGCAAGAGGACTTGGCTGCGCTGCACCAGGCCCGCGGCTGCATCTTGGGGACCAGCAGCAAGGCGGCGGCCCCTGGGGTCTGCCCCGGGAGGCGGCGCTGGAACAAGGACACGCCATGAAGAATTGTGTGTGTCTGATTGTGGTCGTGGGAATTGGTCTGTTCTTCCTGATCCTCAAGGAGCTGAACAAGTGTCAGCAGCAGATTGAGGCCTGGTCTTGGGAAAAGAGGCGACTGGAAGGGGAAAGGGACAGGGAACGGCGGGACCTGTACGACACCCGGACCAACTTCCAGGAGCTGCAGAGGCGCTGGGATGCCTGCAGCAGCCAGACGGTGGGTGCCTCACCTCACGCTTCCCGCTTGCCTCCGTGTTGGTCTCAAGAGCTGGCTGCCAGCGGCTGTCAGCCCCTCAGTGCCCCGACACTCCTTGGCCCGGCCCGTCAGCCTCGGCGGTGCTACCGCTGCCCAAGCGCAGGACCCGGGGGGAAGCAGCGTGGTGCCCCGGTGCAAAGCTCCAGGGGATCAGGGGGCAGAGGGCACTGCGCAGCCATTAGGAGATCCCGTGTTGCAGGGAGGGGTGTCTGCCGGGCCAGGACAGAAACGCTCTTCGACTCTTGTAACCCTTATGCGGATGCATCTCTGATTCAGTTAGTCTCTAAGGTGCAACTCTTCCCCGCTCTCTGCCTGGCTTCAGACTAAGGGGGCTTGTGGCCACTCTCCAAACTGTGCCCTGCCCGCTGGCCGCCCCCCACGTGCGCTATGGAGGCAGCGTCGGGCTTGACAGAGCGATCCCGCGCTGTTCCCGGGAGCGCGGCCCGGCTGCCCGCTCCCACCCCAGAAGAGGCTGCATTTCACAGCAGGGCGCGGGCTTTCCCGCGTGTGCGCCTGTCTCTGGTGACAGTTTCTCTCTCTTTCTCCCCCGACCCCTGTTCAGAGCATCCTGCGGCACAACATCACTGCCCTGAGGCACACCATCGCCCGGCTGGAAGCCCGGGCCTCTGCGCCGGAGGCAGAGGAGCCATGGGAACGAGGTGTGTGGGAAGCGGTCCAGGAGGCCCCAGACAGCGGCTTCCAGGGCCGGAGACCTGCCTGCAGGGCTGGATCCACAGCTGGGGCAGCCCCCCCAAGCAGCTCAGTATAAACTGGCCGGGACCGGGGCAGGGGCAGATCCGGAATCGGAATCACGACCCCGGACCGGAGACGGGGCCTGTGTGCACGGAGGGCTCGGAGGTGCAGGGGGTGGTGGCAGTCCTGCAGCAAAGGGTCCATGGAGGAAGGCCCGGGTGTAGAGACGTGGGGCCGACTCCCCGCAAGGCCAGCGCCTCTCACCTCCTCCCCCTTGAACTCCCGTGCAGGCGAGATGGCCGCGCTCAGACAGCAGCTCCAGGACACTCAGCGGGAGAGGTGAGGCCAGCCCGTGCCCGCTCCGTGCATGCCAGCCGCGGGCACCCCGCCCCCCCAGGAGCCCTCCCCTCACTGCCTTTCCCCTTTCCTCCTCCCCCAGAGACCAGCACCTGCAGGAGGTCCGGGAGCTGCGAAGACAGCTCTCAAGGAACAGCTCCGGTGGGGCCGGTCTCAGGCTGCACAGCCTGGGCCTGCTGGCTCTGCCCCTCGCCGCGGCCCTGCTCTGCTGAGAGCAGCGGGAGCAGTGTCCAGGTACGGGGCAGCCTGGCACCACCTGGGCTGGACACGGTCCTGGGATGTGGCGGGCAGGGGGCACACACCACACTCGCTCCCAGCCTGCTTGTGCCCACCCGCGGTTGTGTTCCAGGTCTGGGCAGGCAGCAGGAGCCCGTCCCGCTCCCGGGTCAGCAGTGCAAACGTGGGCTCGACCCCTGCCCGCCCCCCTGTGCCGGGCAGCCCCGTGGGACCCGGCCTGAGCTGCTCGCGCACTGCAGACCCGCCCGTGCGTGCTCTTGGACCGCGCGCGGAGCTGGCTCCTGCCCCCGTGGAAGCCCCCGGCACACCGCGTGCGGCGCGTGGACCCCGACGGGGCAACAAGGCCGAGGAGGGAGCCGCACCTCAGCTCC